AAGTACTATAAGATCTTTTCCAAATTCAAATGCTGATCCGGAAAGAATGTTTTCTTTTTTAAATAATTTGAAAACGAAAAACTTTTATGCACAGGATAATGAGACAAAACTATTGGTGCAAAGAAAACGTATGATTGTTTATAATAAAAAGTGCATTGCAAATTACACATTTTTTATTATAAACAATCATACGTTTTCTTTGCACCAATAGTTTTGTCTCATTATCCTGTGCATAAAAGTATTAGGGTAAGACTACCGAAAACTAAATATTTTACGAGATATTTTGCATTTTATATCGAAGTACTGCAAACTTTGAAGCCTTATAACTCAAAAAGTACTTAATGAAAAAACATTTGTCTGTAGTGTTTTGGAAAGCTCTCGAGATAAGCTACAAGAATATGTAATGAAAAATAGTGGGTTCAATTTAATAAATTGAAGGTGACTTTTATGTGACCTTCAAATGACTTTCCAAGATCAAACCAATGCTACCAATCTTATGTCCCCCTTCACACCCTACAATTTTTGTTTGAAACATTTCTTTCTGAAGAGTGCTGTTTTCGAGATATTCGAGTGTATTTATTAAAATGACTCACCCTGTATATATATATATATATATATATATATATATATATATGTATATATATTTGTAACAAAAATAAAAAACATAAAGAAAAGCTGTGAAAGAGAAACATTGAAATATCGAAGAGCGAGGCTCGCTCAGCAGCGTTCCGCGTCGCGCATCGCCCGTCGTTTTCGTTGCTTGCTTGATAAGAAGGAGACAGAAAACTGTATTCTGTCCTCTTCTTTTAGCCGAAGCTCGCCGAAGCGCCGAGCTCACACGTACGCTTACGCACACATCTCCGTTACCCTCTCCACTACGCGTGGCATGTTGCTTGCGGAGATAATCTTGCATCCCTGCTTCAGGGCCGCATTTATGCCTGCCGCCTTCTTGTTGCTTTATCCCGTTTTTCTCGGCTCTTTTTAATCTCAGCCTGGTGAGGATTTTTCCGGCAGCCGCTCGCCTTTACTTTATCGATGTCCTGTAGCGCTTAATTCGGCCGAGTTGGCTCCGTTTCGGGATTCCGATGTTTCTAATTGTCGGCTGGCCTTCCCGTGATTATTCCCCGTACCTGTTGAACATAAGGGAATGTACAGGAGCGACAGCGATAGGCTTAGATGGGTGCTTTAATTTATACAGCGGATACAAATACTTAGCTCGGCATTCTCCTTATAGTCGGCGCCTCCGCTTGTCCCGCGCGTCTTCTAATCTGATCTTCTTCGCCGGGTCGAGTCACCGGATGAGATCTCGTCACGTCCTCCCTCACGCATGCTTAACTCTACTCTAATAATTAACGCAAAAAAGGGAGAGGCGAGCCTACCCTCGCCTCCAATATTCGTTCTCTCTCTCCCTAAATCAGAGGAGAACGAGGGCCCAAACATAATACCGGTCAGATCTCACGATCCTTGTGACGGACCGCCAAGTGTCACATCACAATGTATATACATATATTGTAACGTTGCCGTCCTGTGGCGCGTCCATCCGCCCCGATTTTTACGGGACGCGGGCCGAGCGGCCGCGCCAGAATCCACAACGAGAGAACACTATCGAACTCCCTGGAGAGACGAGCAATATTATTATTTTGTTGCGTGTATTAATTTTCTTTGTCATTTTCTTTGTGTATTAATCGACTATCGGGCAACCCGCCGGAGTAAATCCAAAGGACCAGGAGCGCGCCGAGGGATCTTACGTTACGCCTGACGACACGGCGCTCCTCGACAGCCGGCGGGGGGGGCGAAATAGCGCCTGAAAGGTCGAGTGATCAGAAGCCAAAGATGCTACATCACCCCTTTTCGAGAAAGCAGGGCGAAGGTCGGATCGACGTTATCTCCCCCGCAGAGACGAGAACGACAGCTGAGCCTCCATCGGGCCATTGAAAATGGGTCCGCGACAGCAAAATTTTAATCTGAGGCCGTTGCGCGCCAGGCGCCGAAATACCTCGCACCTCGCGAGGCGCCGGGATCGCTCGCAACCTGATTGGCCGCGGGGCTGCGCACCCCTCTACGTGGTCATTGACGCCGCTATCGACCCTGGATGCGGAGATCCACGGATGATTCTGGTGCGGATGCTCGATTGACTTGATTAGTCACTGTTTGTCGTCGTTATCGTTTGTGGTAATTGTTGTCGAAAGCCGTTATAGAGATATCCGCGGATGACGAATCCGAGGACCATCCCCAGCAAGAGGATTCATATCAGTGAGGTTGCCCATCTTTTTTTCACTGTGAGTCATATACGCGATTCGGTCCGCCGGCCGGCCGTTCTGCCGCCGTCGCCATTTTCGTGTTTCGCGACCGCTCAGGTTGGTGTCGAATCGTCGTTTTTTTGTGAATTTTCGGGCGATCGGAGGCAAACGATCGAGGAAAAGCGGACAGTCGTATTGTCGGCAGTAATTGATAAGGCAACGTTCGTCTCTCTCCGGGTCTCGGGGTATTCATTACGCGTAGCTATTGACCGCCTAATATCGACCGCGTGCGCGAAGGAGGATCGCAAAAAGCGTACACCGTCCGTGTTGTCGTATCGCTGTCGTTACCGCGTGGAATATTCCCGTAGATTATCTCAGGGCGATTTTTGTGTCCGATTGCGTAGATGTCGTCGTCGATTGTTAAGTGTGCGTGTGAGCATCCATTGTCTTATACCGAATTGTGTGCGTTAGAGTATTTGCGTCTTTGTCGCGCTTACTACGCCGGCGAATAGAGCGTAGTAAGTAAGAGTTGCCTTTGTCGAATGTGTCGCGGTGCGAAATAATCGCAAGAGTAAGTAAGAATTTGCGTTTGTCGAGTGCGTCGCGGTGCGAAATAATCGCAAAAGTAAGACCGAGAGTGAAATCTGAGCTGCTTGCGCGGAAGAAAGAGGCGGAACGCCGACTGAGAAAAATCTTCGGCCGCCGTCGGCTATTGAATTTCGAACATATCGCTCACCTGTCGCATACAAGACCCGTCTTCGCAAAATTATTCATTATTTTCGATCTCTAGTTAATTATGCTGTCGAACTGTTAAGCTGTCGTTTAGAATTGCGAACTGGGAAAGTGTGAAGAACAGTCCGTAGTGATAAATCGTCGATTTGGTTGTCGAAATTACGGTACGTTTTGGATGAATATCATCCGCGAATATTTCCGTGTCGAAAATCCTTTGTATTCTGAGAAGTATCGTTCAGTCAAGCGAACTCCGGCCATAAAAACGGGCTCGGATAAACAACAGGATTGTCTTAGCGCTCTCGTTTTGATTGTCGATTTCGAGCGGACATTTGCTTTGAATAACGTCTTATTAGTCGTGCCAGGATTAATTTGATTGTGTATTTTGCTTTCTTACCTTTTTTTGAATTTATTGTGAACCGTCGTTTTAATCTGATTTGTTCTTCAATCTCATTTTTACATTTTTCTTTTATATTATTTCTCTATTAATAAATTTGTTATATTTCTTTGTTAAACTCGCGTAATTTATTTGAGTGTTAGTATCTCGTGGTTGTCGATACCCGCTTTTATGTCTGTCGCATATTGAACTAGTGAAGTCTCGCATAATCAATTGACTTTCTCCCAAAACCCCTCCCCTCTACCGTTAGGCGAGCTAGTCGGCCCGTGGCGAAGCAGGTTGTCATTTTTCGCGTTCTCTGACGTTTCGTGGAAAACTGATACGTGAAAGACCGCATCTGGCGCCCAACTTATCAAGATATCGAAACGGCCTCCGCTTCTCGGCTCGCCGCGGATCGCGCGAGAACGTCCTAAAACATACAGTTAAGAAACATACAGTAAAGAAAACATACAGTTGTTTTTAAGAAAAAATATGGAATTGTTAATTGCAAATTACATATTTTTTTTTAGAAACAACTATGTGTTTTCTTTACACCAATTGATTCCTCTCATTATTTTGTACATAAAAGTATGAAGGTAAGATAATCGAAAAATGAATGGTTTACTAGATATTTTATGGTTTATGTAAAATTAAGAAATTATTTCAAGCCTTATAACTCAAAAAGTACTTAATAAAAAGGTACTTAATTATAGTGTTTTGGAAAGCTCTCGAGATAAGCTACAAGAATATGCAATGAAAAGTAGGGGGTTCCATTTAAGAAATTGAAGGTAATCTTTATGTGACCTTCAAATGACTATCCAAGGTAAAATTTTTGCCACCCATCTTCAGTCCCCCTCGAAATCAAGCAACTTTTATTTGAAACATTTTGTTGTACATTCAAATATAAAAAAGTTATTGGGGTGGATCACTTAAAATGGCCCACCCTTATATACAGGGTGTCCCATTTTAATCCCCCACCCGAAATATTTTGAAAAGTAAATGTTTTAGAGAAAAATGTTTCAAACAAAAGTTGTTCAGGACAAAGGGGGCAATAATTGTGCATTATTGGTTCTGACCTTGAAGTCAATGTTCAAGGTTATTTGAAGGTGACATTGATTTTTTTAAATGGAAAGTCCTATTTTCGACACCGGATTTGGAAAGAGCGAGAAATTTTGCGTCCAAAATGGTACTTTATAATTTTTTTATGTGACCTTCAGAAGGTCAAATGTTGAATCGTCTGGAAGCTTTTTAACTTTAGATTCATGGGCAAACAAATACTTGAGTAGGACTTGGTGCCGACGAACTTTTACCATTTTGACCTTGAGGGCAATTTTTAAGGTCAACACGAATACCAATCCGGGATGAAAGGCGTTTAATTCGAAAAGTCTGCATACCGCTGGCGTTAGCGTCATCCAACATGCACCCCGCGGAGGTCGCACAGTCGGATTTGCATGTCTTCGGGGTGCTTTGATCAGGTGGTTCCCCTTGCCGTCACCTGTGTGTATGTGCGTGTGCGTGTATGTAAGTGCGTGCGTGCGTGCGTGCGTGCGCGCGCGTGTGTGTGTGTGTGTGTCCGGCCAACAAAGGCAAGATTAAATAATCAATCCAGTCAACAAAGGCAAGAGCATTTGTGTCGAGACCTTACAGTTCATATTCTATTTGAAATGTTCAAATGCCGCTCCATTAACCTGAATGCACTGGTTAATTCTATTGCTGAACGACTCTCTCACACTTCGAAGAATGTCCGGTGTAATATCCTGGCATGCTCTTCGTATCCTGACTTTCATATCCTCTACCGTTGTCGGTTCTGTTGCATAGACCTTCTCCTTTAGGTAACCCCAAAGAAAAAAGTCTAACGGTGTCAAGTCTGGTGATCGTGGAGGCCAAATCTGAATATGACTGCCCAAGCCAATCCACCTGTTCGGAAATTGCTCATTTAAGTACTCTTTAACTAGTCTTGATCGATGAGCGGGTGCCCCATCCTGCTGAAACCACATTCTTCGACATGTATTGCCCGGTACATACCTTAAAAGGAGTGGCAATTCATTTTGTAGGAAATTTAAATAATTAGCTCCATTTAAATGCTCTTCGAAGAAAAATGGCCCTACAATGTAGTCACCTACAATACCGGCCCAGACGTTAATAGACCATTGTCGTTGAAATTCTCTATTTCGTTTCCAATGAGGATTGATATCAGAATAATAGTGACACTTATGTCTATTAACGTCACCTCTGTTTGTAAATGTGGCTTCATCGCTGAATAGAACCTGTTCATCAAATGCAGGATTTGCATCTATCTGACCTTGCATCCAGTTGCAGAATCCTAGACGACGTGGAAAATCACCCTCTTCCAATTTCTGTGTCATATGGATATGATAAGGGTGAAATTTGTTCGATTTGAAAATTTGGTTCGCCGTTGACTTCGGTATACCGTGGTCTTTTTCAATTTGTCTCGTAGAAATTTGAGGATTTACAGTTGCAGCAGCCAAAACTGTTACCGACTTTCTTTCAGCAGGACCTGTTTTTTTACGCACTCGTTTTAAAATACCTTGCTCGGCTCTTGTGCAAAGTCTTTGCATTGTCCTCCTATCAGGGTGTCGCCTATTTGGAAATTTCTGGGCGTATAGACGCTCGGCTAGAGAATAATTACTCCTAGCTTCTCCAATAATCTTAATCATGTCCACAATTTCATTTGGCAAATAATCAGACATGATTGTATTTACGAAAAAAGAAACTAAAGAAATTTGATTTGCAAAGTTAAGAATACTGGGCGGAACTGTTTCCAATATGTAAAAAAAAAATTATAATAGCTAATGTTATACACAAAACTAACAAACGAAGCGTTAAATACAAATAAATACTTAAAGAAATTAAATTTCTTGGATGAACTATTCCTAATCTTTTTTGAAAGATATGTAAGGAAGAAAACGAAACATATTTAAATTAAAAAAACAATGAGACAAATACGAATGCAGGAATGTAGGACTGGAGAAATGTTGGAATGACCAAATGTACGAATGAAAAATGTACAAATGAAGAAGAGTACGAATGCACATAGGCATGAATGCAGGTATGAACCATTGCAGCAATGCATGAATGTACAAATGAAGTAACGTGTAATTGCAGAAATGTATGAATGCAAAAACGTAGAAAATCAGATATGCACAATCACAGAAAAATACGAATTCAGAAATGTAGGAATGTAGGAATGTCAAAATGTGTGGCTGCACATATGCACGAATGCAGAAATGCACGAACTAACAGATGTACGGATGCAGATTGGATTGATTGGATTGATCGGATTGATCGGATTGGATTGATCGGATTGATCGGAATGGATTGGTCGGATTGATCGGAATGGATTGGTCGGATTGATCGGAATGGATTGGTCGGATTGATCGGAATGGATTGGTCGGATTGATCGGATTGGATTGATCGGATTGATCGGAATGGATTGGTCGGATTGATCGGATTGGATTGATCGGATTGATCGAATTGGATTGATCGGGTTGATCGGATTGATCGGATTGAACAGATCGGATTTGATTGATCGGATTACTGAGATTGATAGGATTGGATTGGATGGATTGGAGAGATTGGATTGATGGGATTGGATTGATGGGATTGGATTGGTGTCAGTCTACATGCGAGGGTAAGAGAAAGCGAATGCTCATTTTCATTTCAGATCATTTCAAATTATGAATCAGGGGGCTGCGCCCTCCCCCCCCGAACCACCCCTCCTCGCCCTACCCTCCCCCTCTCCAGACATACCTTCTCCAAAATGCAAGCACCCCGAAGGCATGCAAATCCGACTGTGCGACCTCCGCGGGGTGCATGTTGGATGACGCTAACGCCAGCGGTATGCAGACTTTTCGAATTAAACGCCTTTCATCCCGGATTGGTATTCGTGTTGACCTTAAAAATTGCCCTCAAGGTCAAAATGGTAAAAGTTCGTCGGCACCAAGTCCTACCCAAGTATTTGTTTGCCCATGAATCTAAAGTTAAAAAGCTTCCAGACGATTCAACATTTGACCTTCTGAAGGTCACATAAAAAAATTATAAAGTACCATTTTGGACGCAAAATTTCTCGCTCTTTCCAAATCCGGTGTCGAAAATAGGACTTTCCATTTAAAAAAATCAATGTCACCTTCAAATAACCTTGAACATTGACTTCAAGGTCAGAACCAATAATGCACAATTATTGCCCCCTTTGTCCTGAACAACTTTTGTTTGAAACATTTTTCTCTAAAACATTTACTTTTCAAAATATTTCGGGTGGGGGATTAAAATGGGACACCCTGTATATATATAAGGGTGGGCCATTTTAAGTGATCCACCCCAATAACTTTTTTATATTTGAATGTACAACAAAATGTTTCAAATAAAAGTTGCTTGATTTCGAGGGGGACTGAAGATGGGTGGCAAAAATTTTACCTTGGATAGTCATTTGAAGGTCACATAAAGATTACCTTCAATTTCTTAAATGGAACCCCCTACTTTTCATTGCATATTCTTGTAGCTTATCTCGAGAGCTTTCCAAAACACTATAATTAAGTACCTTTTTATTAAGTACTTTTTGAGTTATAAGGCTTGAAATAATTTCTTAATTTTACATAAACCATAAAATATCTAGTAAACCATTCATTTTTCGATTATCTTACCTTCATACTTTTATGTACAAAATAATGAGAGGAATCAATTGGTGTAAAGAAAACACATAGTTGTTTCTAAAAAAAAATATGTAATTTGCAATTAACAATTCCATATTTTTTCTTAAAAACAACTGTATGTTTTCTTTACACCAATTGATTCCTCTCATTATTTTGTACATAAAAGTATGAAGGTAAGATAATCGAAAAATGAATGGTTTACTAGATATTTTATGGTTTATGTAAAATTAAGAAATTATTTCAAGCCTTATAACTCAAAAAGTACTTAATAAAAAGGTACTTAATTATAGTGTTTTGGAAAGCTCGCGAGATAAGCTACAAGAATATGCAATGAAAAATAGGGGGTTCCATTTAAGAAATTAAAGGTAATCTTTATGTGACCTTCAAATGACTATCCAAGGTCAAATTTTTGCAACCCATCTTCTGTCCCCCTCGAAGTCAAGCAACTTTTATTTGAAACATTTTGTTGTACATTCAAATATAAAAAAGTTATTAGGGTGGATCACTTAAAATGGCCCACCCTGTATATATGTATATATACAGGATGTCTGCTAAACATGCGGCAAAAATTCAGGGGGTGATTTATTGGGTTATTTTAAGACTTTTTTGTTATCTGATGATTTTCGAAAAAATGCTTTGTTTCGAAAATAAAAGCAATAAAAGTTTTTTGACCAATTTTTTATTCCATAGATAATAGGCGATACAGGTTTTTTTCAAGTATTAACGTAGTCTAAATAAACGTAGCAAGCTAGTGCAGATGTTGAAAACAATAACAAAATTTGTTTATTTGCCATTGATAGTTAAACTTTTGTTCGGCTGTCAATGAGGAGAAGATTAGATTCCTGCATCCTAGCTGGTGGTAGTCATTTTGAACAGTTCTTGTAATTTTCAATAATTTTGTTAAAAAACCTGTATCGCCTGTTATCTATGGAATAAAAAATTGGTCAAAAAACTTTTATTGCTTTTATTTTCGAAACAAAGCATTTTTTCGAAAATTATCAGATAACAAAAAAGTCTTAAAATAACCCAATAAATCACCCCCTGAATTTTTGCCGCATGTTTAGCAGACACCCTGTATATATGCAACGCTAAGCAAATACATTCAATAAAAAAAAGAGGCGTTGACCAAAACTGTCTCTCTTTTAAATTGCATAGGTACGCTAAAAAAGCTATATAATTAATTAGAAAAAAATTATAATATTAAGTAATACCATTTCATTAAAAAGAATAAAGTTTATTCATAATGTGACTTACAAAACTAGTTACAAAAACTGTACAACTATTTATAATATATAAGTACTTTATATTATATTCTTTACTTGCTAAAGTAAATGATGCAGTGTTACATATTGTTTTCCATCAATACCTTTACAAAATAACAAAGGTAAGTAATCTAAAAGATCAGTAATTAGAATTGATATTACATTGGAAGTATTAATAACATTATAAGCATGAAAATGTTCACTGTACAGTGTACATGTAAGAACATTGCATACGAGACAGATATTATCATTACGATTTACTAGAATAGAGGAAATAATACCAAATTGAGGCCCATTATCATTATCGACTCCTATTGCACATTCCCTTTTGATATAAAGTTCCTTTAAAAGTGACAAAAATATGTTGCGTAAAACCATTAGAAAAATTTATTGGAAGAAATGTTGAATTATAATCTAGTTTTTCTTCAGACCCTACTTCTAGTGTAATATGAAGTCCCTTTCGAGTCATAAATCGATAAGCGCATCGAAGTTGTTGTTTTAAAGCTAAAGCAATATTTTTCCTAGAACGAGTAGCTTTAGCATCTTGCACAGCTGGTTGATGATTGGCTTCAAATCGATCACATGCTAAATTAACAAGAGCACCAGACTGAGGTAAAATTGATTGGATAATGAATCATATGATGGTGTTTAGGTTTTAAAGTATTATGGAAAAGAGTAACATACAAACGATGGTGTTCAGCAATTCTTTCTTCTAATATCTTATAGAGTTCTTTTTGTATTTGCCTACACAAAATAATTTCAATAATATCACGAAGAATTAAGTAAAACTTCTATACGGGATCGTTATCAGGAACAAGGTCACCTACGAGTAAAGCAAAGATACGAACAAAAGTGCGCATCTCACTGGCAGTTTTCGCACTGGCATTTTTATTGATTTTTTGCGAAGAGCCTTCTCTTTGAATTCAATAGGTTTATTAATTAGTTTTATCATAATCAAATATAATTAGTCGAAAGTTAAGTGTTTCGATAGTAAAATAACTTTTTATAAAAATGAAGTGATAGAGAATGTGAGCCATATCATAAATACAAACACCCTCAAAAACGTCATGCATATTGTCAACACTTTGATTATCAGTTACTTCAAAAGTCTCAATCTCATTTAGGGCAGATTTATCACTAACTCCAGTTAAAGATACATTACCAATCTTGCAATCTATATCATGCTGTAATTTATTTCTGAGTAAACTTGAATTTTCCTCTGTTTGAAAATGAATTAAAGATTTATGAGCACGGCAAATACGACATGGAAAATTTGCAGTAATCCTTCTAAAAAACCAAGCATTGAATGAAGAGCTAAATTATCAGCTATTAGAAGAGCTATAACAAAATAGACTGTGTGAGTAACATTATTTATAATAATTTGAATACCATTATTCAATAAGAAGTTCAATTTTTTAATAAAAATCCTGAATATTCGCTTATTTCCATAATTAACACGATCAGATGTATTAAAAAGTAAAGCCAAAAAAATATTATCTAAAGAACCTTGAAATTCTGAGAGGGAAGACATGCTATTTTGACATAAACAGCACCAAGTTTTTCACTATGAGATCCAATTTCTTTATCAACTTCAAAGTCATCATAAAATACAAAAAGAGGAATTACAATGTTTTACACCAAATAATTTTCTTTTTTTTTTGCCAATGAAATCCATAAATGTAGTCAGCAAAAAAAATCCTCGCATGAAGTTTTACTTAAAGCATTTGTAATATTGAACACATTTGGTAACTCTAGAAAAACTTTAAGAATTTTTCTCAA